CTTCTCTCTCTCTCTCTCTCTCTCTCTCTCTCTCTCTCTNTATATATATATATATATATATATATATATATATATTAATCAGTGGCAAGGATTTCCTCTCTTTTGGCAAACTATCCTGATAAATGATTCAAATATACCTCTTTGAAAAGGCTATGGATGATCCATGCATACCCACATTCCATTTGCAATGTGAAAATTTTGATGTTAGTATTTATTTTTTGGTTACTGCAACTTCTTGTCATTTCCTTGGGGACTGGATTCATTTTATTTATGCTTTTTTTTTGGCTATTATATGCAGCTATGGATATTTCTTCTGATTTAACAGAACTTGGACGAACTCCAGTTGCCGTTATCTCTGCTGGTGTGAAGTCCATACTCGATATTTCAAGAACTCTTGAGTATTTGGTATCTTCTCTTTTGCTATATTCTTTTATGTTGGAATTTGATATTTCCTTTTTTTTTTTTCTGTTACGTTAGTTTATTTCACTCCCAGAAAAAGGGATTACATCCTTGGAGCTCAAACACCATGCCCATAATGACTCAGTGAATTCCTTTTTTTTTTTTTGCAGGTTATGTTTGCTGGGACTTATTTTTAATTTTATATATTTATTAATATTGTCACTTATGTTTGCTGGGACTTAATAATCTAGCTCAGTTCCAGTTAGTGGCATAACTGCCAAGGTTTTCCCAATACGCTGCACTGGATATTGTGCCTATTCATAATAAAATAACACTTTGCCTTTTATTAGAGCATTTTCTAACAGGTGGAAACTATTGAAAAATACTCAATACTGAAAAGGGTGGGATTGATGTGTTGAACTGTATGTGAATGATATTATTCTTAAGAGTTATTGCTTTTGTTCTTTTTCTTTTCAATAGTTCGCTCCTGATAATTACAGGAATATCTGTAGGTCCTGTGCACAGAGTCGGGGTTTTATTGGTCATCTTGCTTCTGTTCTCTCTGCATTACTTTTCCTTTCTTTTTTCATTTTTTTGCCTTTTTCGTCCAAGAAGAATTGCTGATGGTTTTAAAATCGAACTGATGCATCTTTGCTCCAAACTTACTTGAGATTATGCTTGCTTTCACTATGTTGAGCTTGTTCATTAATTTAAAGAAAAAGAGGGTACCCATATGCTCATTGTTTGTCATATATTTGAGTGTTCTTTTTACCTTTGACAATGGTTCTTCCTTGTGCAGGAAACTCAAGGAGTGACTGTTGCTGCTTATAGAACCAAGGAGTTCCCTGCATTTTTCACTAGATCTAGTGGCTGCAAGGTGGTAAACTGGGTCTTGGGCAAATCATTATCTAAATACACCATTTTGATTGACATGATATAATCCAATGCAAAATTTGCACAATCCTATAACTGATTTTAGGGGTGTATTCGACTGATAAGATTGTAGGTGTGTTGTGTGTGTGTGTGTGTGTGAGAGAGAGAGAGAGAGAGAGAGAGAGAGAGAGAGAGAGAGAGAGAGGAGAGAGAGAGAGAGAGAGGAGAGAGAGTAAGTAGTAGTAGTGTAGAGAAGAACGAACGTACGTACGAGTAGTACGTAGTGTACGTAGTAAGTAACGTATACGTTACTACTAACTAACTTA